ATATGAACAAATAAGCAACTCAGAATAAATGGAAGTGCTACAAGCAGAAAAAAATACTTCAAAAATTCCAAAATATTCTCTGAAACATAAAATATTCATTCAATATAAACGGGAACACCATAATGAAATAACACTCAAAAAAATAAAAAACAGTTTTCAAATTAAATATATATTAGTAAAAACTAAAATGCTAATTAAGTGTTTGAAAAATAATGTCACAGTAGTTATTCAGAGTGGGACAATATGTTAAAAACAAATAATTGACTGAGTAGGAGAGAAAAAGATGTAAAATCAGAAAGCCAATTAAACAGGTCCAATATTTGAGTACTATGTATTCTTGAAAGAGAAGGCAAGAAAACTGTGAGAAACCTAAAGAAATTAAACAAAGTACACAAGACTGTCATTGATACATATACAAACCTTCCACTAAAAGACATGAAAGATGTTTTAAAAGGCATACCATGTGCATGGATAAAACCAGTGTAACTCTTTCAGTTATCCCCAAATTAACCTGTCGATTCAACATGATTCAAATAAAAGTTTCACATGGAGTATTTTTTTGAGGAAGACAACATATTTAATTAAAAGTATATACAGTAAAACTAAAGTCCATTTAAAGCTTGCACCAAGTTTGGGGGGAAAAATGCAAAGGAAATAGGGAGGTTCATTAAACTATTAAAATATATTAAACAGCTATAGTAATAAAGCTGTCTGGCCAAGGGCAAACTGACCAATAGAACAGCATAGAAAGCTAAGAAAAGTACCAATATGAAGATGGATTGCTATATTAAATCTCAAACAGACTAGAATGCAGAGGAATTAAAGACATAAATCTAAATGGAAATGTATAAAGCCAGTAAATGAAAATGTATGAGTATCTTCTCCACCTAGGGGTAGGGAAAATTATATAAAAGTCCAAAATTAAAATCCATAAGGGGTAAATTTAATGAATTTAAATGCATGAAATTAAGCATTTTTAATTCAGTTACAGACATCATAGATAAAATTAACCAATAGAAAATAGGGAGAAGTTACCTGAAATGTCTAAAACTGACAAGTAATCAATGTATAAAATAAAAAATAAAATTCAACAAATGAAAAGAAAATTACTGAGAGTTCAACAGAAAATGGGCAGAAGGTATGAAAAGGACATCCATAAAAGAGCAATGAACTTAAAATGAGATGCTAAAGCTCACTGATTTCTTTACTAAATAAAAAGGTATTCAGGTCATCTAGTTCTGCTTGAGTGAGACAGCTTCTTTCAAAGGATTTGTTTATTTTATCTAATTTGATGTATTTATCAGCTATAGAATTGTTCTTAATATTCCCTGAATTTCCTTTAAATGTCTGTAGAATCTGTATGGATGGATCCTCTCTCATTCCTGATATTGGTCATTTGAATCTTCTCTCCTTTTATTCTAACCAGTCTGGCTAGACATTTATCAATTCTACTGATCTTCCCCAACAATCAATTTTTCATTTCACTGATGTCTCTATTCTTTCTCTATTTCTATTTCATTGATTCACTCTATTTTTATTATTTCCTTTCTTCTGCTTACTTTGGGTTTAACTTGTTGTTCTTCACTGACATAAATATTTCCATGTTTCAAGTAAAATAAGAAAAAGCATAGCACTGAGTAAATGGAACATTTAAAGTTAAAATTATATTTAGTAACATTAAGTTCACTATCAGAGACAAACATACCTGAATCATCTCATTTTTCCCCTTTGCCTTTGCATAATGGCAATGAAAATATGCCTCATCTTTTAATTAGGAATATTTATACTTAGGATGAGTTGTTTTTATTTTTCTGGTCCTTCTGTTAGCATTCTCATGATTAATGAGTCACAATTAGTGACAACAGTGAGGGAAAGTAACTGAGAAAGTCATGCTAATGCAAAGGCTTATTGGTGGGATTTTACAGACAAGGAAAGAAGTAAACAAAAACTAAGCAGCAACTGTAACTCAATATTTTGTTCCTTATTTTTCTTTATTTTAAACTTGGACTGGATAGGGTTTTAATCTCATAAGTAAACTGTAATAGTGTGAAGATAATGCTTTCTTCCTAATAAATAGTAAAACACTAAAGAAAGTAAAACTTTGTGAAAATAATTATATTTGCCTGATTTCACGTAACAAAAAATAAGAATGAAAGGGATAAATTATCATAACTAATGTCATCTTCAAAGGAATTTAGTATGTATTAACTTAGCTAAAATTACATAATAGCAAAGATTTTTAAATTTCTTACTCATTCACCGAGACAGTTCCCCAAATAAATACGCATTATTTATGTTTTTCAATCAAAAACGAAAATTCCCATCAAGCTAGTTTAAAAGATCAAATATAAGCTCAGGCTGAATATTGAGGATTTAACTATGAAAACTAAGTTTTTTTCTGGATTAACCTAAGCCTGAATTTGCTGCATTACAGGTAGTGGCACCTGGGTGATTTTCAGGAGTATTAAGATAGCCATAAAGGTGGTGTCTTATTATACTTCCACCCTCACTCAGGAAGGATTCTGTGGGTATAATTAAAGTTGTGAAAACAAATTTCTCATCTATTAGAATACATTCCTTTATCTAGATAAAAGAAGACATAAAATGCCCATCATCTTTTGCAAAAAGGAAAAAACTACCATTGTTTTCATTTTAGTTGTGTGTTGACAGGGGTCTGATAGTTTTGCTTTCTATTTTTATTATATATCCAGGAAGGGTCTTTCTCACTCTTCTATATCTAGCCTAACATTCCCCACTGTTTAAAGAATCTTGGGAGCCATAGCCCTCAGCAATCTCTTCCTCCTATAAAGGAACAAGCAGTTGTACAATCTGTAACACAAATCTGGTAGTTAACTGTGCAATTCTCCATGATATAACTCTACATTCTATATTTTCATTACTTATTTTTTCATACATTAATGTGCTCTCTTTACACCTTGACTTTAAGTTTTTGAGGGATTTCCTTCTGGAGATTAGGGGCTATCTCCCTAAAACCCCCTTCAAACACCTGACTGCCCTATCACTGCATGGATTTCTGTTTCTTTGTGGCCTACATTCTCAGACTTTACTATTAATTATACAAAAATGAAACCACCATAGAGGTGTTAGACATAAGAATAGAAGGATCATGGTGTTTATAGTACTGACCTAATCAATGGTAGAAAGAACCCATATGTACCAATATTAGCTATGCAGAGGTAAGCCACCTCTAGTCTTGTAACTCTATGAGCAGACACACACACAGAGAGACAATGAGAAAATGAAAAATTAGGGACAGAGATGGAGACTACTTGCTGATGCATTTCAAACTCCATTTTTCCATTGGAGCCCCAGATTCTACTCCTTCACCTTTCTTCTTCCTATTTTCATTTTCACACTTCCTTAATTAATTGGCAAAACTATCCCGAGGAACAATGTTCACCGGTATCCACGTTGGTCATCAAATGATATTTAAAAGTGGTGAAGTATAGTTTCATTTTCATCTTAGGTCTGCTATCTACCTCAATCTCTTTACTCCTGGGTAGGTCAGGGAACCACTGCACCCAAACAAGAGACTGATGTCTTTTTAGCATACCAGGAAAATTTTACGAGTTGGAGACACACAAAGACTTGTCAAGTTTAGCTGAAAGAAAGGATGAGTAGAAAAAATTAACAGGTGATTTCTAACATTTTAATTACTTTCACCCAAAAGAAAAGACAATATAAAGTATTATAGATTATCACACTATAAATCTTTCACTTTCTTGATAACTTTTTATTCTAAAATATAAATCGACTCCCCAAAGTCAAAAAATCACTTTCTCTGTAAATATGACCTAATAAGGTCATGAGTGGTAGAGGTATTTGAGGAAGTCCTGGAATATGACTTCCAAAAATTTATCTGACATCTCTAAGGCGTAAAAAATAAATAAACAGATATCATTTCACTCCAATAGGACATACCATTTAAGCACACAAACTTGAAAAATAAACTTTCAAAATATCAAATACTTTTCTGTATAACTACTTGAGTATTGATTTTGGAAAATGAAAACATTTAATTAGTTTTTTAATTGGACCAGTCAGGTTTAGATTAGTATGACTTCAGTCTCTGACAATAAAAATAATAAATACAGTAGACCCCCCCCTTTATTCTGGGAGGATATGTTCCAAGATCACCAGTGAATTGCTGAAATTTGTTTTGTTTTTTAGATTCCATATATAAATGAAATCATACAGTATTTATCTTTCTCTGTCTGATGTATTTCACTTAGCAAAATACCCTCTAGGTCCATCCATATTGTCACAGATGGCAAGATTTCATTCTTTTTAAAGCTGAATAACATTCCGCTGTGTATATACAAGAGAGAATAGTAACTCCTGTGTTGTTCTTTATTATGATTGTTTCAGTTATTCAATGTTTTTTGGGTTCCCATACAAATTTTAGGATTATCTATTCTAGTTTTGTGAAAAATGCCATTGCTATTTTCATAAAGAATGCACTGAATCTGTAGATTACCTTAGGTAGTATGGGCATTTTAACAATATTAATTCTTCCAATCAATAAACACAGTATATCTCTTTCCATCTGTTTGTGATACCTTCAATTTCTCTCATTAGTGTCTTTTTAGTTTTCCAAGTACAAGTCTTTTATTTCTTTAGTTAGATTTATTCCTGGGTATTTTATTATTTTTGATGTGAATATAAATGAGATTGTGTTCTTAATTTCTCTTTCTCATAGTTCATTGTTAGTGTACAGAAATGTAAGAGATTGCTGTATATTAATTTTGTATCTTGCAACTTTACAAAATTCATTTATAAACTCTAGAAGTTTTTTGGTGCTGTCTTTAGAATTTTCTTTGTATTCTATCATGTCATCTGTAAACAGTGACAGTTTTACTTCTTCCTTTCTAATTTGCATCATTTTATTTATTTTTCTTGTCTAATTGCTGTGGCTAGAACTTTCAATATTATGTTAAATAAAAGTGGGAAGAGTGGACATCCTTGTCTTGTTCCTGATCTTAAAGGAAATGCTTTCAGCTTTACATTGTTGAGTACAGTGTTAGCTGTGGCCTTATACATGGCCTTTATTATACTGAGGTATGTTTCCTTTATACCCGCTCTATAGAAGAGTTTTCATTATAAATGGATGTTGAATTTTGTCAAAAGCTTTTCCTGCATCTATTAAAAGTGGTTTTATGATTTTTTTCTTCAATTTGTTAATGTGATGTGTCACATTAATTTGAGAATATTGTAACATCCTTGTATCTCTCAGATAAGTCTCACTTGATCATGGTATATGATCCTTTTAATGTATTGTTGAATTTGGTTTGCTAATATTTTGTTGAAAATTTTTGCATCTGTGTTCATCAGCAATATTGGCCTATTGTTCTATCTTTTTGTAATCTTTGGTTTCGATATCAGGGTTATGGTGGCTTCATAGAATGAATTTGAAAGAAGGATAGGAGCTAACTCTTCTCAATGTTTGGTTGAATTCACCTGTGGTAGAAAAGCCCTGGACTTCTGTCTTCTGTGAGTTTTTTTTTTTTAATTACTGATTAAATTTCCTTTCTGGCAATTGGTCTGTTCATATTTTCTATTTCTTCCTGGTTCAGTCTTGAGAGATTGTACCTATCTAGGAATCTATCCATTTCTTCTAGGGTGTCCATTTTATTGGTTTATAATTGCTTATTGTAATACCTTATGATACTTTGTATTTCTGTGGAGTTGATTGTAACTTCTCCTTTTTCATTTCTGATTTTCTGGATTTGAATTTCTCTCATCTTTTCTTGATGAATCTGGCCAAAGGTTTACCAATTTTGTTTATATTTTTAAAGAACCAACTCTTAGTTTCATTGATTTTCTACTTTTTTTTAATCTCATTTCATTTATGTATGCCCTGATCTTTATAATTTCTTTCCTTCTACTAGCTTTGGGTTTTATCAGTTCTTCTTTTTCTATTCATACATGTATTCCCAAGTTCAAAAAATATAGTGTTTTTTGGATCACTTCAGACTTTGTGAAACATAAGTGTTCAGTTAGGAATAATTTTTTCTTTTTTACAAATGGCCAATAGGCACATGAAAAAATACTCAATATCGCTAATTATCATAGAAATGCAAATCAGAACTACAATGAGGTATCACCTCATACCAGTCACAATGGTCATCATTCAAAAGTCCACAAATGATAAATGCTGGAGAGGGTGAGGAGAAAAGGGAACCCTCCTACACTGCTGGTGGGAAGTAAGTTTGGTGCAGCCATTAGGGAAAACAGTATGGAGATTCCTTACAAAAACTAAAAACAGATTTACCATATGATCCAGCAATTCCACTCCTTGGCATACATCCAGAGGAAACTCTAAATCAAAAAGACACATGCACCCCAATGTTCATAAAAGTGCTATTTTATAATAGCAAAGACATGGAAGCAACCTAAATGTCCATTGACAGATTATTGGATAAAGAAGTTGTGGTATATATACACAATGGAACACCACTGAGCCATAAAAAAGAATAAAAATAATGCCACTTGAAGCAACATGAATGGACCTACAGATTGTTATAGTAAGTGAAGTAAGACAAAAAGAGAAAAAAAATGGTGTCACTTAAAAAAATGACTTATTTACAAAACACAGACTCACAGACATAGAAGATAAACTTATGGTTAACAAAGGGGAGTGGGGTGGATAAATTAGGAGTTTGGGATTACCAGATACAAACTACTATATACAATATAAATAAGATCGTCCTACTGTACAGAATAGGGAACTATATTCAATACCTTGTAATGGCTATAATGAAAAAGAATATGAAAAGGAATACACACACACACACACACACACACACATACATATAACTGAATCACTATGCTGTACACCAGAAATTAGCATAACATTGTAAAATGACTGTACTTCAATCAAAAAAAAGTACAATGTTTTTTAATGAAGGTTTTTTTTAAAGTGAAAAAAAAAAAACAAAAGCAATAGCCTTAAGTTGCTTGTGGTCTTGTGATTTTAACTCAGTAGATCTCATTTCATTTGACTTTCAACATTGAAATATCACTGTGCTAACAGGAAAGCTCTATTTACTTCATTTGTCTAAATTGTGCTATGATATTTATGACAAAAATAATGGTATAAAAGACAAAATTTAAAAACTCATGATGCCAGTCTTAGTATTTAAATTTGTTTTTTGGCACATTGTTTAAAATTACAATATCTTAATTGCTTAATATCAGTAACAATGTGAAAATAATTTTCATTAATGGTATACATTATTACTATTTGTTTACTCAAGTTTTTAACATAATTAATACATTTAATAATACGGTTTTTGTTAACAAAGACAACTGTAGTACAAACTTTCTCTAAGGTTACAAATCACTCTAGTGCTAAACTATTCTTATTCTAAGGGGAAGCTATATAACAATAATAATAATAGTCAAAAAATAATAATTGCCTGCTGTGTTTGCCAGACACCAAAATATGCCTGAGGGATACAAAAAACGAACATTTCTATAGTGAAAACTTGTTTGGAGTTTTTCACAAACATCTAATGACAGCTGTGTACGTTGAAAAGAGACTCCAGTACTATGTTTTAAGCCAGTTAAATTTTACTTTGAACTTATTCATGTTCAGTCTATATACTTAGTAAACATTCAAACATTGTTGTCTTGTGCTGTTAATTTCAGATAAAACGCATATTGGAGATTTGGAAGGTGGCCATAAGGGACAGTGTCCCATTGCCACAGATAAACTATTTTAGATTTGATATTCACTGCTATCACTAAAACCAGCAATTCTAAAGAGATGATTTTACCATCACTGAAGAGGTGTGTTAAACTGAGCATCTGTAAAATTGACAGTATTTAAGAGTACTTCTGCCTTTCTACCATAAATTCAATCAGGTAAAACATTGTTCAAACTCCGCCTGAAAGTGCCAGAAGACAGGTCTTAATTTCAAGAAGTGTATCACTTCTCTTAGAAGATAACCACTGTATATATACTTTGAAGTAGAAATTAAATAAAATGCATTTTTATAGAACACTGTGATGTTTAAACAGTATATTTCTGCTGATAAAATGTTTAGAGTATAAATATAACCAAAAAAGATCACTTACACCTGTTGTTGAACATAACAGAAATAAAGTTACACATTATGTATTATTTTTTATCTTGATTCTTTCGTTAATAATGTTTTTAGGATTCTTCTATGCTGTGTCAATCTATGGTTCATTTCTTTCAATTCTGAGCATTTTATGAATATATCACATTTTTTTTCATCCATTCCATTCTTTTCTGGTGTAAGTTAAGTTGTTTCCAATATCTTATTATAAAGAGTTTTATAACAGCATTTTTACAACTGTTTTGTGGGCATATATTTTTAATTACATAGGGTAAATCCCTAGGAGAAAAGTTGCTGGATAATAAAGTATATGTGTGTTTAGCTTTTTGAGAAACTGCCAACTTTCTCTCCATAGAGGCTTACTAAATGTAGACATTTTACACGAAAGCACATAACAAAAATGATCACAATTATAAAGCAATCAAACAAGTAAGAAAAATAATTTGCAACATATAGGATAGCCCCAAGATTAATACTATTAAAGGAAAAAAAAAGACTTTAAATTTCTAAATCAATAAGAAAAGATATATTAAAATATAAAAAACGTTTAAGAATGTGATCAGATTACACAAAATAAATAAAATAACCAAAACCATTGTAGATGTGCATGAAAATTCATAAATGGATTTTATCATAATATAATGTATAAGAGCAAAAAATGAAAATAACATAAATATCCAATAATATAGGATAATTATATGCTAGAATTACATCAAATGAATATCATGCATCCATTAAAAAACAAGCTATCAAGCTGTTTAACATATAAATAACATATAAGATGCCATCCAAATTAAGTAAAAAAGTCCGTAAATATAAGGTGCATGACTCCAAGTATAACTATCACCTATGCATAATTCAGAATTATGCATAAATTTGATTAAAGGACATATATAAAATATCAATAACAATTAGCTTTGACTAGCAAGATTGTAGATATTGTTTCTTCTTGGTATTTTTTCATATTTTCATAGTTTCTAATAGAAACACATAATTCATTTATATTCAGAGGAAAAGTAAAATGTTTCTTCCTCAAAAAATGTACACAAAAGAATTTCTACATTACTTTTTAAATTTCAAAGACAAAATTCTGCACAAACTTTTTAATACAGATTACAGTCAACCTCTGGTGTCATTTGGCTCATTACATGCAAATGCAGTAAGAAGGTGCCAAATGTTGCAGGGGCTTCATAATAGAATAGAATGAGAATTATGTTAGAGCAAGTGTCTTGCAACCCAAGAAAAGTACTTCCAAATTGTTTGTCAGTGAAGATAAATGTTTCTGCCTTTCAGCCTGAAAAGTGTCAGCCTAACCCTAACTACTCAATAATAGTGAATGCGTGCTGCAGAATAACAAGGTATGGGAGGAAAAGGGAAGACTGAAGCACTCGGCTTAATCTGGCCTTAAAAACACACAGATACATACATACAAAGATGGGTGTATATACACTACCTACACTCATATTTTAGTTATGTTTTGCATATATCTGAAACATAGGTGACTACATTTGACTTACATGCATGCACATATATGTTAACTTTCATATTTAATATTATGTACACACACATTAAAGCTATGTATACTCCTACAGATATTTATTCTGTGATGGAGAGAAACTGAATTCTAAGAATAATTAGTTGTATTCATAACAGTATACATAGAAATAAATGAGGACAATAATATTTATATTCTTGTCCAGCTATATTAGTTCTAAAATTAGTTCTAAAATGTGAACACCTATTTCTTATATAACTTATTTAACATTAAAATACAGGGTAAATTTCTAAATGACTATTCAATTAAGTAACTATGAATGGTTAGGAGGTAACAGAGTGAGTTACATTATCTGTTTTAAAATACTTAAAAAATAAAATTATAGCTTATTATAAAATAATATTCACGTTTTAGAAATTCAATAAAGCCAATAGTAAGTGAAATTCATAGTTAATAAACTGAATTTATCTTCAGTATGTCAGTTACTTTGGGCTCCTAAGCCCCTCCCCAAATCAAATTATTTTTTGGAATAATAATATATAATAAAGAAATAATCCTTGTATTTTGGGCTTAAATAATATGAGTATAAATTTTTTTCTAAGACTATTTGGCCAAAGAAGCATTAAGAAATGCAAGCTTATATTTTGATTGTGATAAAAATAGAATCAGATCCAGCAACACAACACTGTAATAATACATAAGATTTTGTTTCATTTTTCCAAATGAGAGATCTTCCTAAATATACTCCAGACTTCATACATAATGCTTATAATTTTAAAAACCGAAATTGGAACAAAAATTGTACAAATGGTACACGTTTAGAGGACAATAATTTCCTGATACTGATATTTCCCCCCCAAAAAAACAACCCTGACAGTAATGCTCAGTACTTGTTTAATGTTCA